TGCTCTGGGGCTGCCTGCCTTAAAAAGTCCTATTCTCTTTCAATCCTCCATTCTGCTAGTAAGAGATAAATAATCTGATAAATTCTTAGGTACTCTATTATACTCCTTCCACAACATAGGACCATCCTCTAGGGTGAAAAATTATTTAATCTGGAGAAATGACTCTGGTGCATCAAAAGGGTTTCTTAATCCCTTTTGTGCCACAGACCCCTCTGGTAGTTTAGTGATCTTGTGAACTCCTTAGTAGATGTCTTTAAATAAATAAAATACATAGGCTTAAGAGGGAAACTAACTATATTAAAATACAGGTGTTCAGATATTTACAAAACTAATTTTAGGATGTAGTAGTTTCTGTGAATCTTTATCGACAGATAACAAGATCCAGCAACAGAGCTAAAAATTACCCTAACTTTGAGGTAGTTTGAAACTATTGAAGCAGTTTGAAAACTGTCCTAATCAAGTGATAAACTTGAATTATTTCAAGATATCTTTAATAACTCTAATAAACATAATATGCAAATATCTGTTCTTTCTATTGGTGACACAAGCACAGGTACTGCTAAAACTACTCAGATTTGTTGTCCATTCATAAATAAAATGCTATGTTTCATTCTAGGTGTTTGTGGAAACAAAGATCTAATTATTTTTCTATCTCAGTTTATGTATCCTCTGAGTTCTATCCAGAGATACACCCTCCTATACCCTCTCCCTAACATTATGAACTCTGCTCTAGCGATATGGATTTTGAGCATTTGAATGTTTTCATCTTCTCTAACTGGACTGTGTAAGTAACCTGTAGGGGGCTCCTTTTGCCTTCTACTGAAAATTTATGTTTTGACAATGCTGGTAACTGTTCTGAATTATTGTCTTAAGTCTTTAAAGTGTATGTCAAGGTAAATAGATTTTAAAAATTACAAGTATATATTATGTGAAGATGCATGAAAACCTTCAGTATGCAGTATCTCTTTTTCTAAAGTCAGACATGCTATAAAATAGTGTCATGATGAAATACTCAAGTCATTTATTTGTCCCTTGAACTTAGAAAAATGCATGGTGGTAATACAACTCTCAGACTAAGAAGAAAAAAACTTCTGTTAATCCTCTACTATTCTATGCAGTAAAATTGAAGAATTAGCTAGACCCTGCCCTGAAGCCTTGCTCACCATTTTTGCAACATATTTCCAGGATAAATGACGGCAGTATGTTTATTTAAAAAGTAGAGTTATTAAAATAAAACAAAATCCCATTTTAGCATTTACTATACGCTGTGAAACCAATATCTCATTTAATCTGTTTTTGAGGTTCCATGCCATAAATGCTGACTCTACTACTGTTAGGTATTTCACTTATGATCTTGTTTTCATTTGCATCATTAGTGACATTATTGCCTGGCTTGTATAAAATATATGCAATATATGCTAAGAACAAAAGTACTATTTAATACATATCATTCTATTAGATTCCCTCACAAAAAGTTATACTTTCTTCAATGCAAAATATGAATAGCTATAAGGAAATAATGTCTGTTTGAATTTTAGATGACTAATTTCTTACAGTAGAAATGGCTTAAAGTTAGCAATTATGTTTTAAATAATAAACATACACCTTTATATTCTAAAAAGAGAAAAGAGAAGTCAATCCAAGTAGAATTTTAAAAATAAGATGATTTCCATATTTCTTCTAAAATATTTGGCAGCAAAAGTGGTCATTTTCTTAATGAAAAATATATATCTAACATAATCACTCATCATTTACAATACTATTTGATTTAAATGTTGAAAGACAAAAGTTAGGGTCACTGGTAAGTTTAGAAAATTACTTGAAATTTTCAAACAGCTTATGCAAACACTGTAGTTGATCTTTTCACTTCTTATTTCTCACCAAGGCATTGTTTAGTTGCTGATAAACTAAAACTACAACATTATATATAAAACAGCATTACATAAAACACAGGGAGGTGATGTATGCATTGTACCATGGAAGTCAAATAAGCATCCAGAATTTGAGATGAAAAAGTAAAGATACTAAAAGGAAACAATAGCATATCTATCATCTTTGTAAAAACTGTGTTAAGTGCGTTGGTCTGCCCCTCACCCCTTCCTTGGAGGTAAAAAAATCAACAGCCAATTGAAACGATGAAACTAATACACTCCAGTAATTTATACGCACAATTTCATGAGTTTCCTCAAGGTTATATAGGTTAAGTAACTCTGTTATTCTTTTAAGATATGTTGTCAGGACTGAGGGCAAAGATTACAGTGGCTTTATTTCTCTGCTTTCATAAAAAGTTACATAAGAAGAAAATAATCAGTATTTAATGTCCATAAATATTTTCAGAATTCCACAAACCATTTTCTAAATTTAATTTTATGTTTATGAAAGAAACTGCATACTTTAGCTAATACTCCATTAAATTTCTTTCTTATCATAAGGTCCAAACCTTAACCAACTCACTCAGGAAGCAAAAGAGTATAAGAATCATCTATTAAACCATCTGTGCAAGAAAAGTGTGGAAGGGGCAAATGGAGGATGAAATTGTCACAGGAACAAATGTCCAAGTGGATCAACTACTTAATGAACCAAAATACCCAGTTTCAATACTGTCAATAATGAACTAAAATAAAAGTAAACGAAATGCTCCTTAGTTTTTCCTTTAAGTATGTACATTCAACATTTTTGTGTTACGAATTCTAGTATATAAAACTTTGTTGGGCTTCCCTAGTGGCGCAGTGGTTGAGAGTTCGCCTGCCGACGCAGGGGACACAGGTTCGTGCCCCGGTCCGGGAAGATCCCACATGCCGTGGAACGGCTGGGCCCATGAGCCATGGCCGCTGAGCCTGCACATCCGGAGCCTGTGCTCCGCAACGGGAGAGGCCACAACAGTGAGAGGCCCGCAAAAAAAAAAAAAAAAAAAAAAAAAATTGTTAACCTAAGTTCAGAAAGAGCAAAAGAAAATTCAGGAAGTGCATCTATGCACTTTTTGTTTTTGCTTTATCTTATCCTACTACATCAGAAGTTCATTTTTGTTATATTTTAGCCACTTAAATGTGTAATAAAGTTTTCAGCCAATAAAAACAAAGGTCAGAATGTTAACACAAGAAAATTCGTGCAATTCTTACTACCTTCATAAAATGAGAAGCACGGTTGAGGGTGCAAACTTTAGGCATGTGTCTGTCCAGGAAGACTGTGAACTCGTCAAGGGTAAGAACCCTGGTTCCATTAGTTTTTTTATTATCCCAAAGAGTACTTCACACACTGTAGGTGTCAAAAAAAAAAAAAATGTGCTGATTGAATTAAATTTATACAAAGCATTGAAGACGTAGAACTTCAATTAAAAAGATGTTACTTACATTGAAAAGAATTGAGTTACAGAAGCTCCAACTAATTATTAGAATTAATGAGGAAAAAATTTAGAGAAGGAAAAAATAAGGAAGTGAAATTCAAACTTGATTCAAAAACGAGTTCTGTCTCTCATTTGAAAAATATAAGTTATTAGGCAAGGGACACTAAAATTTCAATTATTAAAGCAGAAGAAAATGAACATGGATACCATTGATTGGGGAAAGTTTTGAAAAAAAAAAATCTCACATTTTAGTTCTAAGTTTTAGTTCACAAATTCCTACTGACCAGATATATGTGTGTATTAAAAGAAGTCATTCTCTTCTAAAACATGAAGGATATTTAACAGCTGCCTAAACAATCCTTTGACAAAAACTCCTGCATGTAAGCATAATTCTCAGGGCCAAAGTTGAACAAGTTTGTCTTGGGAACAAAACGAAAAAGAGAGAGAACACAAAAGTAATAAAGAACAGAGTTATTATGAAGTCAAAGAATGTTTGTTTAGGACATCACTCATCTCCATCATCTGCTTGATTTAAAATTTTATTACAGAAAATGTCTAACTGCTGTAAATATTTTCCCACTAGAAACAGACACTTACTGGATTTAAGTACATTTTCTGAAATTTAATTTTAAAAATTCATTTATTCTTGCCCTTCAGCCTTTAGGGCTTCCAAGCATATCCCTAAAGGTTGTAGGAACCACAAGGAAGATTCTAAGTGAGTACAAAGAGCAGATCGTGCTCTGATCCAAGCCATGGAAGCCATCTTCATTTCAATTAATTTACTTTGCCTTTATGAACTTAAGAGTCTTTCAAGGAGGTTGACATTTCACTCATCTAAAAAAGCCTGGAATGTGACAGGGGAAAGGGAGAAGTAAATCAAAGGGGTTAGCAATTTTCCAGATGCAATGTATTTTTCTTCTCTTCTTTTCCACCAGAAATTTTAGAGAGCCTTCTGACATTTTAATTCCCTGTGCAAAACCACAGTAGCAAAAAATGCGTACAGCTTCTATGTCAAAAAACAAACACACACACGTGCACTTGCACATACTCATGAAATAAATACAGATTCCAACTGCTACTCCTTTAACTGAAAATATTTCTTTGAGTGTACTTATTAGATGTTTGTGTGTACAGTTTAATTGACAATTTTAGTTTAAAAGCAACAGCGGGTTTTGTAACTTTCTTTTTCTCTTGTGTGTGATAATTAATTGCTGAGTCCGTGCTGGCTTTTTCATTAAAAAGATGGCATTTATACAAACTGTTCTTGTGACTGTATTTTAAATCACACCAGGATATTTCAGTTATCACCTTTAGCCACATGGTTTCAGGAAACGATGCCCGAATATTTCATGCAAATGCTGGTCATTTCCGAAGAGTCCTTTTTTCATGGAGTGGAAATTCACCAAAACATGTAGAGGTAAAAAAATCTTCAAGGCCTGTAGACAAATTCTCGGCAACAGAGGATATGCCCATTGTGTCTTGGAGCCAGAGAGGGAGAAACGCCAGTTAACTCCCCCAAACACCCTGCTTCAATATTTACCTGACAGCTTTGGTATCTTGACATTTTCCCCGGTGCATTTCCTCCTTTTTCAGGTATTATTTTACAAGGGATTTCTTGTTATACAGAACTAACATAAATCAATCTATAACAGAGGAATTTGTTTAATACATTTATTCTTTTCAGAAGCTGCATGATCATATTTCATTGACTCGTACAATAGAAAAAAATCTTACTACTAAAACAGAGTTTGTGGAGACGGGTGCATGGTAAACCTATTTAGTCTTTTCAGAGGTTCATTCTTAGATTTTAATGTTAAATAATAACAACTATTCATTTAAGCTGGTCTCACTGTATATCTTGACCTTTAGCAATTCCACACACAGCAGCTTATTGTGGTATCCTTTAAATATGAGAAATAAGAATGTTTTACTTTGCCATTAAGAGAAAAAGAAAAGAGTACTGTATGTTACATGGCCCATGAAATATTGGCAGTGTGCTCCTTGGCTTTCATTCGAAGAACTGCGATACTGGAGGACCTCCTTTCAAACTCTGGCTTTGTTTCAAATGCATGTCCATTGGTAGCCCCGGTAAGAAGAGAGTCAGTGAAAAAATTGTTGAGGGGCACGTGGCTGAACTGGTTCTGGTGGTTTGAAAACCCTGTGTAACTGGAATCTGTCCGAGGCGAGTGAGAGTAAGGTGTCATACAGGAGGAAGTGTCACGTGGCAACATGCATGAAGTGACCACAGAACCACCACTCGCATTTCCTGCCCACAAATTGTTCTGAATCTGGAATATATAAAACAACAAATATTACATTTACGCGTTCTCACTTTTGTTCCCTTACTTTTGTGAAACTGTATTTACGAAGTTTTGCTAGTTGTTCATTGTTTGCTCCTATTGGGTGGTCTGTAATTTCATTCTGAGTACATCTAGCAATTACTGAAAAATAGTTATTTGAAAGATTCTTCTAGTTTGTTATACTGGAATGGATCACCAAAACCCACATATTTGACCACATAAAATACTCTCAAAACATGTCAATCTCGAGTATTCTTTTTATAGTCATGATTTTTAAAATGAAATCTGGAAGATTTAGTCATGATTCCTGACCAATTCATGTGCTTAGAAAAGTGGTTAAAAATATGGTTTTAAGTTTAAATATAGTTTTCATCTTTCTAAACAAAATTACACAATTGCATTTGTTTTTTTAAATTCCACATCTGGACTCTTGATGTGGTAGTTTGTGCTGGAAACCAATGCTGATATGAGGCTGTTTGTTCTTCAGAGATATTTTTGATCAAACTCATTTTGGAAAATGTTCACTATTTCATTGTTTTTCATATCCTATAGTCTTGAATATATAGCTCTGTGAAAAGGACAATTATACACATATTTTAAACATTTATTCTATGATTTATATATGATATAGTGAGTGAGGTTGCAGCAGAAGTATGACATGTAGAACAGATTTAGAATTCTAAAACTTGACTATTACCCTATAATGAAAGCACAGTTGAGAAAAATATACAAGTATTAGCAAAAATATCATATGAATATAAATAAAGTACTAGATAACATCTTATATAAGATTGAAAACTGGGTTATCATTTGTGCCCAAGAAATTCACATCTCATCTCATTAAATCTCTACAGGAAACATTTCAGTGCAACATTATCAGCAAATACAAATTTCTCTAAAGTTACTAGCATGTAAAAGAAACATTAAGTAGAATTTGTATACTATGAATTTTATTTTATTTTTTACTATGAATTTTAAATAGGAGCTATCTTAGACTAGCTATTTAAAGAAGGGCAAAAAAAAGTGATCACATGCATGACTGAGAAGCACAGAGAAAATCCTGATAAACGGCAGGAGCTGGGAAAAAAGGAAAATGTTGCTTGGTATAGCATGGCAGAGAGATGCAGCCTTAGAAAACGAAATTTAGAAATTATATGCCTTTTACAGTATTATTACAATAGATTTAGACTAGAACACAACAACAATATATATGTTTATCCCATCTGACTTTCTTTTCTTTTTTAAAATCATAATTAGAATGGAATCATCAATTATTTCAACACATATACAAGAACTGTTTTCTCATATTTATTTTCACATAGAAATTTCAGTCTGCTACATACAGCCTCTGGTATAGTCTTACAACACCCAAGCTGTAGCCATATTTTTTAAGACAACTTATTTTCAATTAATAGCCAAAAATATGTGGATGAATCTTCTAGATTACACTGTAGAGATGTTACTCTGTCACTTAGAAAGGACCACAACCAGTTCTAAACTGAACAACAAATATTATCCCTTAGGTGGTGCTTCAGTGGTTGGCAAGATGTTCATTTTAGTATTGTTTTTTAAATAGTTCTTTATATAAATATTTTCTCAGCTGCTTTAAATATGTCAAATTTGTGAGAGATACCTATAGACATCTATCTAGCTATCTAGCTAGCTGTCCATCACGATTTGCATACATTATCAATCCTTAAATCGTCATGGGCTATGCTGTTTTAATTTTGGCTCATTCTAGCATATGTATCCCACTTTAGCCAAAGTATGATGATTGGTGCCAGTGACTGCTGAGTTATGTATCTCAAACCAACAGGAGGGGCTGTTAATGTCATTAGTCTGTCAAACTAGCTCTTCTAACTTGATCTGGGTGATTTTCCTCTGACATTCAATCAAACATTGTGCTACACTGCAAAAACCACAGTCATATGTCTGACAAAAGGGCTTTCAGGAAATGAAAGTGAACTTGCTTGCTTACTTTTGAAAAAATAAATGCAAGGCAAGATAGTGGTAGAGAAAGATTATTTACATTTTATGTTTGTTAAAGGATCCCTCAACTTATACACAGTGTTGCTAGAATTTATTATTAAAATCATCTACTTGTATTCCAAATGCATAGAAATACATTTAACAACTCAGTCAAAAAGAAAAAATAAGGACAGTAAAAGCAAGGAAGGAAATCTATGAATTTAATTTAAAATATTTTTCCCCTGAAAGAATTAACAGTAATCTATGTATAAAATGAAAAGAAATTCTCCACTTTCCACGACATGAGCAAATATTGTTATTTTGATCAAAACTTCTTACCTGAACATGATCAAGCAAGTTAAATGAGTTACTTTTCATGAAATACAACATATAGAAATGTCTTCTGAACAGAACAGATTAATAAGGCAATTTACAAACAGCAATACTTTCGTTGGACTTGAGGGGATACCCAAATATTCTCATGGGTAGTGATGCTGTCCCATGCTTTTACTGCTATGCCCTGTTTCCATGATCTCTATCACCCCTCTCTTCCCAGCCTGTCTTTGATTTTCAAATTTCTGGCATGTTTTCATTAGACTTTGGGGATCTAGTTGGTTTCTATATTAAAGTTAGATGCAAATCATAAAAAAAATATCCCCAGTGAACTGAGGTTTTGCTTCCTCTGAAGCATTCCCTCTGGATGTTTAAAACATCTGATGATGACGATCAAGATCATGCTCATGATAGCTAAGTTATCAATTAATTACCATGTGACAAGCATTATGTTAAAAGCATGATGAAGACTTCTAATCGTTTTGACATCGGAAAAGGTATGTGCTTTTACTATCCCCATTTCGTAAAAGGTACAACTGTAGGACAAAGAGTTTAAGAATCTCACCCAAGATGGCATAAGTGCAATGGCAGAGGTCAAATCTGAACCCAAGAAATCTTATAAATGCTACAGTGACATAAAAACTAGTCTTATGAGTTGAAATTGTTATTTACTTATTAATAACCCTAAGTTTTTGGTTGTTCATAGACTCCACTTACTGAAAGCAAAATTCCCAATGATCGCTCACAACTGTTTTCTCATCCCCAGGCCTGACACAGCATATGAAAAACCCTTTATACACATTTATTAAATAATGGAAAAATCTCTAAGAATATGAAATTTGGACTGATCCATCTTGCAGATGTAATCAAAGCTTTATGGACAATTTATGCTAATATATCTAATTTTTTTTTTCATGATTTGAATGTTAGAATCACCATACTACACAATCTTAACAGAAATCATGAAAATTACAAAGCTAGACCCTGTTCACTATATTTCCCTGGGCAGTTTTTTGGGGTTTTTTTTCTGTTAAACACTTATTATCTACCACAGATGCACCTTCCTGGAGATTCTGATTCATTAAGCAGGGGGTGTGGCTGAGGGGATTTGTACTAAAATAATGGCAATGATAATACACACAAGCAATTCTTAAAATCACCTAGGATCAGGAAACGCTATTGAAGTCCAGCTTCTTTCCAAATGCAAAAAACCCTTGTACATTTTCAATTATGTTCGATTCCTGTGATAAGAAGTTCACCCTGTTTAAAAAACATTCCATTCCCTTTTGGAGAGCTCTGTAAAAAAGTGACTGTTATCTTTCTCTATCTATCTCTTCTATGTCGGACCCTTAAAATGATACAGAATAAGTAGCATCCTTCTTACATGGGGAAACCTTCAAATATCATCAGGCGATTATTATACAATCACAAGTCTCTTTCCTCTAAGGATTCCTCATATGACATGATTTCCAGATGGTATCATTCCAGTCACGTTCCTCTGGATATGCTAGAGGTTGTCAACACCCTTCACCCTTATTAACATCCAGTACTGACAACAGAATATAATCTAGATGTCGTCTGATCACCGTAGGGATAACCCAGCAGGTATCATCTTTGTTCTAGATCATCTACTTCTGTTAATATTTGAAGGCGATATTTGATTAAACAATATCACAAGTTTGAGCTTGTGGTTTAACAAATCTACTGCTGTCCAAGTGGGCTCATTCTATGCCTCCTCCATCCCTCCACCAATCCTATTCTTGTAAGTGATCATTTTAAAACGATGCACTAGAATCGACACATATTGTCTAAAACTGTGTATATATTTGTCAACAGAGAAGTCATACAAAAATCTTACTCTCTGACTTATTAAAAATACTGTATTTGCTGTTAAATTTTGGAATGAAAGAATGCACTTTTTTCTAAATAAGATCACTACTTTTCTTCTTTTTAGACTAGTTTTAGACTAGTTCACTGATACCAAATAATTTTTTTGTAGGCTTCTAACTGTATAATATTCAAGGGCTTTACAACCAGGAACAGCATTACTGAATCATGTCCACATCCTTTTTTCATGTGTGCTTAAAAAAAAAAAGAAAAGAAAAATGAGAAAAAAAGACTGCTTGCCTTTATATTTTTTCTTCTTTGTGTTTAAAAGGAGTGGATAACCTAAAAATATTCCATGTTTTAATGTGGTTCACAGCATTTTTTAAAGTTCTGATGGTATGTTCAAAGCACTGTCCAGGGAACTTAGCCAACTACCTCCCATTAGCATGAATGGAAGTTCAGCTGACTTAGAACTCTCCACTTTGAACGTTTGCCCCTTAATGTTTTTCTAATCACGTAAAAACTTAATTATTCCATAACTTTGAATTTTGGAGGAAAGTTCATTTTTTCGTCTCTTTCCAAACAAATCAAATTCATTTAACATTCACTTTCCTTTCAAGGAATTAAAAGCAATGGCTAGGAAGGAGAGGGGTGATATATAAGTATACACATATATATTAAGAGTTCTTCACTGTGGATCTATATATGTCATGAATTGAATAGGGTAAATCATGGATAGGAAATTATAAATCTCATTTACCTTCATCATGGAAACGATACAGACATATTCTTTATATAACCAAAACTGTACAGAAAATTTTAGCATGCTAAATTTGGTGTATATTTCTAATATATTTGCT